TGTATATATATAATTTGTTTATCATTATATATTTATATGATTGGCATACTAGATTTTAGATTCTTTGTTTTCGACATAACTGCCTGAAATTTGCCAACTATCCTCCCTTCACTGCTGCTACTGTTTCTATTGCTATTCCTGTGTTAAAATATGCTTATTGCAATAAATGTATGTGACATTATTTTGGCATGTTCAGAATAGATGTACCAGGTATTATACCTTAACTTTTTCTTTTTGCATATTAGGATGGTTTCATTGGATTTGGAGGCAATGTGATAAGGCAACAGGTCAAGGAAAAGGCCAAGTGGTACATTACAGACTTTGAAGAGCTTCTCAGGGAGCTGGACAGTGACAGTATCAAAATGAATCATAATGATATAATTTACTAATGTTCAGCAAGCTATTACAGTTGTCTATTATGTAGCAAGAAAGCCATTCGTTGGACAGCCTTTTATACCTTAAGGGCCTGTAAACATTTTATAGTGTTTTATCTTTTTATCCAATGAAAACAGTGGTGAATTCAGTTTTAGTTGTTTTTTTTTTTACTACTAACCTTTACTTGAAGTAACTCTAATAAGAGAAAATAATAACAGGCATGTTTTTTGCATTCATATTTTTTTCTCCAAGCAGATGTACTGTTTATCATAGAAAGGTGCAGAGTCGCAGTTTTACATGGTAGAATACTACTGTTTATTCTTAAGATTTCCACTCCACCACATTTCTTTGTAGAGAAATTTAGCTGACTTGCTGTCATTTCACTTACACTTATTGAAAATACTTACTGCTGAATGTAAGTAGAAAAACAATAATTAGTTGATTATATATGTAAAATTGCAAAACTATAAATAATATTAATTAGAGAGCCGCAGCAGAAGGCAAAACAATATCATAGGGTATATTTATAAAACATGTGCAGAGCCATTTGTCCTTCAAATGTGCATTTGTTTTATGCAAATTGCGCAAAAACAAATGTTACTAGTATATTGTCTCAAATGCCTCTCACATGGCAATATGTGATTCCATATGTGTGTGTTAAGGTAGTAAATATTTGGCATAATTTTTTTCCTTATCTTTAGATGCCCTGTAACGCTTAAAGTGATATTAAACCCTCCCTGAAGAAAGAGAAATATAGCAGCATACTTTAGGTTGTTGCACGTTTCCAGTCCCCTTTTTGTGTTCAGTCGCCCTTTGCAGCATTTTTCACATTTGAAATCCATTTGTAGCCCACTTCCGCTTCTAAGGGTGGCCCTATAGTCTTGCAGATCATCCTAAAGCCACCCAAACATGCGCGTGCCTGGCCTGTTCTTTCTGTTTCTGTGCATGCTCAGACACCATACAAAGGGTGCGCATGTGCAGTATGGCAGGGGTCCATCTCATTTAACCCCCCCAAGTGATGTGAATAGGGCACGCGTGTATAATGTGGCTGGGACCCCTACCATTGTGCTCTCTGTGGTGCCACTCATGTGCAGTGTGACAGATGGGCATGGATTTATGGGACATGTGGTCCCAAAGCGCAGTGAGCGCTCCCCGAACAGAAGTTCAGGAGAAGTGCAGCAGAGAGGGACACAGTCTGGAGAATTTTCACACAGCAAATGTGAGTGTTTTGGGACCAAATTAGAGGAAGGACATTTATATAAATGTTAGTTTAATGGAGCTAGTGGCAGTAGGTCAATTTGCAGGGTTTAATACTACTTTAAATTGTAGACTCTGAATGGTCACATGCTACCTAACATAACTCTTTAAAGTGCAACTGAACTCAAAAAGTGAAGATTTGCTATGTTATAGGGAACACATGGAAATGCTAATTATGCCCAAGCAGTATCCTGAAAAAAAATGACCCTTTGTCTTGAATTCCTCATAAAAAGTAGCAGTGTACTTCCAAGTATAGAAGAGTGCCTAGGTCCTCCTGTACCAAAACCCTGATAGTTGTATAGCTGCTGTCTGAGATCTCGGGCACTACTGTCTCTGGAGATTTGGTTATGACACTCTTGTGCTGCTCACTGTTCTCCTTGGTGGAGGAATCAAAGAATCAAAACCTTACCTCTACCAAAATGGCCTCTCCACACAGAGACACAGTATGAAACAAAGCATGTAATGGGTGACAGATCAGCTGCAGGCAAACCACAGGCAATACTAGTGACTAATCCTCTGCCATCTACCTGTTTTTGGCACAGATTCCAGAGTTCAGTTCCTCTTTAAGTAATGGAAAACACTTGAGCTATCCCATATAAGAAACTGTATTTTGAAAAGGATCAGGGTTTTATTATATTTATTTTCAGAAATTCAGTCAGCTGAACATGAACTAAAGCACTTAACTTATATTACAGATCTCTGTTAAATGGAAAAAATGTATATTTTACATTGTATAGTACTACTAATACAAGTACATTTTCAAGATTTGACAATATAATTCTGAGCAGAGCTGACGTTACTTCATATTAATGAATTACAAAGCTGTTCATGCATAGTCAAGTACGGCAGTTTGAGCCTGATTGAACAAAATTTGATTAGGGTGAAAACTTGGTTCTCAATATTTGCAAATGTCTTATCATTAATGTTGAGAGGCATAACAAGAAAATCAATGATATGGCCACAAGATCTGACAGCATAAGCAGTCACAGTCTACCCACACAAATCCTAAACCTTAGCTGGGGTCATCTCAAGTAAAGAGCAGACATTCCTTTTTGCCTTTGAATGTGTATGTCTGCATCAGGCCAGACAAGCTGATCAGCTACATATGTATGCACAATATGTCAGTCTTAAGTTTACACAATGTTTTGATTTAAGGATACATGAACATCTAATAGACTATATAGAAACAAATATTTATGTATTTTATGCGTATGCATAGCAACGACTGGTGGGTAATGTTGAAGTCTAATTCCAAGCTAATTTCAAGACTGACTCTTAGTTAATTCCTTGTATTTCATGTGATACTGTTAGTGTTTCAAGAATGTTAGTCAACGGCAGAGGTAGGCAAACTCCAATCCTCCAGCTGTGGTACAACTACAAATCCCATTAGGCATTTTAAGACTCTGACAGCCACAGGTATGACTACCAGAGGCAGACGCGTGATTGGATTTGTAGTTTTACCACAACTGTAGGGCCAGTGTTTGTCTAGCCCTGGTCTAAGGGAAAGGTAGTGGTACTGTGGACTAGATAGCATTGGCATTCACACCATTCTCAAGTTTGGCCTTGCCCATAACAGTTGATGATGACAGGTGCACATGAACAAAAAATGCTGAAATACTCATAAAAAAACTGTAATCCTGTTACACGGTACCTGATGGAACTGATGAACAATTCCTCAGTATTTTGTATGGATTTAAATGATCTGACATACCCATCTAAAAATGCATCCATCTCCATGAAACCCAAGAATAAACTAAACCAATAATCACAATCTTCAGTGATGTTCCAAATATAAGAATTTTGACAAATCATTTCCATGAATACAATGGCAGGGCAGCCTTACAAAATTAGATAGTGTTAAGTGCATTAAGTATGTGCTAAATGCAGTCATCCCTAGCAACCAGAGTTCCATTTTCTCATCTAACCAGAGTAGACTTTTAGGCCTCATTCACACCAGATCTGTTGTGTTGCAATCCATTTTTCGAAGGATGCTAACTCAAGGGCACCAAAAATGTATGAGTTTGAATTGGCCAGTTTACACTGTTGTGATCCATTTCGTTCTGTTGCAGTGAATGCTCTACTTTTTTCAATGTAACGGAACAAAAGCGGATGTAATCGCAAGGGAATGGAAGTAAAAAAAAAATACATAGATGTTTGTCCACTCTGGACATGTTAATTAAAATAAAGTTTGGCAAAAAACATTAAAAAATAAAAAAAACCCAGAATGGAATGGAAGTCAATGGACCCTCTGTTGACTTGTGATTTCCTTCCAATTTTGGTGTGATCGGATCAGTTGTTATGGGTTGCTGCACTTAGCATTTTGCATTACCTGGTGGAGTAAGCCTGCTTGTTTATTTATAAAGCATATCAAAGTATCCATATGTTTGCCATTTTTCTAATTTGCACATGTAAATCATTTTAAAATTGTAGAAATTGAATTGACATGTCTGATGCTTTTATATATATATGTCAGAACGCACAAGTTCCTATCCGACACTGTAAATGGTATATTTTCTAATCTGTGAGAATTGAATGTAGTTTTTCCTCCAATTGGTTTCCCTTGGTTTAATATACCTGTAGAAATAAAGCATTCTTACAAACGGTTTGTGATTGTCTCTCTGTTGCAGCTGTATACTATTCACAGTGTTATAAATGGAATTTTAGCTGATTCTTGTTGCTGCAATGACAACAGAAAGGACCCAGCCCTCCGAGAGAGTACTGTGAACCTGCCTGGTGACTTGGTGGCATGTCCAGGCTACGTCTTAAAAAGCTTTATACAGGACACACAAATTGCTGACAGCTCATCTTTTGTGACTCAGCAGTAATGTTGTATTTCTGGTTACACCATTTCAACAAATTTTGGGATTTTTCTAGAGCTTTCTGATGATGAGCCATCGAGCCTCATTTGAAGTATTTAGTTTCACAAAATGACATTGACAAGCTCATGCACGCGGCATAATAAAATACTGATGATGGGACATAAAGGTTTTGTTTGCAGGGCTCTGCCCACAGTCCTGTAATGAGGAATAATCCTCTTGTTTTTGGCATCTGTTCATGAATGAGATGTGAATTCCTTCTGTTCTAAGAAAGCTTTACTGTGCCATGCCTGCATAGGAACACCGAGGCACTGGTAGATTTCGTCACACATTGTAACAATACACATTAGGACTTTCCTTCACACATGTAGCCAACCCATCTAAAATAGTTTTTCTAGATCTGGAACTCTCCTCCGATGGCACGGCCATCACTACTACCTATCACGTGGTCTACTACCAATCATATGTGCATTTTCAGAGCGGCCACCACCCGAGATGGATAAAAAACATCCCCAAAAGTCAATTTTGTAGGCTTAGGCGTAATTGTTCCAAAATTACAGATTACAACACACAGAGCCAACTTCTCGCCAACAAGTTCAAAGACAAAGGTTACCCAGCCCCACTAATCCACGAGGCCTACTCCACATACCTAACACCTTCCACCCCCAAAGCCACCACACCCTTAGAAGGTGACTCAGAGGTAAGATTCATTACCACTTACAACAATAATCACAATGCCATACAGCGCATCCTACGGAAAAACTGGAACATCCTCAAATTAGGTCCTTCCATCCCTAAAAAACCCACAGTAACATTCAGGAAAGCCAAGAACCTGAAAAATTAGAATAGCACCCAGCAAAATTCAAAACCCTAGAGCAAATGCAACTCCCCAAATTTGATCAGAGAGTAGGCACATTCCAATGTAGAAAACCACGTTGCCTCACGTGCCAATTCATTACCCATGGACAATCCAAATTCACAGATAGCACAAATATAAACTACTCCATTAAACAATTTATCACATGTTCCCATGACCATGTCATTTATGGTTTAAAATGTCCCTGTAATTTATTATATGTCGGCCGTACCATCCGCCCGATTTATCACAGACGGCGACCCAGACCACAGTGTGCCACGACATTTCGCTCATAAACACAATAAGCGCATTCAAGACTTGCAGGTATTCGCCATTGAACATATCCCTGAGCATTTTTCGGCACCTGAGCGTTTCCAGCGGCTATGCAGGAGAGAAATATACTGGATATATCAGCTCAACACTTTAGTTCCCAATGGACTAAATGAGGAATTGGAGATTCTCACTCTCATCTGATCCAATCGGACCAATCATTTGATTCAACCAGACCAACCATTAAAGTGTCCAC